CATCGCCCCATCCCCGCCCTCCTTTTTTTGCACAAACCTTCTCATCAGGGCATATCTGCTGTGTTGGTACCAAGTCAGCCCATTACATTGCTGACCTATATTTGGGCTGGCTGTCCAGTTCACGTGTTCCTCTCGGTAGGCCCTACTTACCTTTTATGAGTTCCTGTCCACATGTGTTGATGTTGCTTGTCTTTTTTTGTTGTTTTGTTTTTTAAAATTAATCCTTTCAAACATTTAGATTTTTCCTTATTCAATGCTGAATATTGGATGGACCGCAAAAGGTAAGAAACAAATTGGAGAAAAAAAAAGAAAGATACAGACATATTATATATAATATCGGGAGGACTTCCGTAGCGAGCGACCACTATTTATTCAAGATTGTACTTGTTGGTCACCACCTTTCTTATTGGAGACCGAAAGCCACTGTTATACTAACTGGACATGACAAAATTACGGTCGTTTGGTAAACCTTGGAGATTTCCTTCAGGAAACGTACAAACTTGCATCTGGCGTCGGCGTTCTTCCGGTGCCAAATATATTCCGCCAGGTGGGCAGCAAAGTGCCTCTTCTGGGTGTGGGATGAACGCAAACTCCTCTTCACTGCCCACCAGGTAGTTTCGATAGTATTGGTGTGGGCGCCGGTGTGCAGGTCGACGAAATTCTCCGTGTGGTTGACGGTCAGGTGTCGGAAACCCTCTCGCTCCAAGCACTCGTAGCTCTTGAAACAATCGCTGTAGATTATGGTACCTGGAGCAATGTGCTTCTTGATTAGACTGACGAGGGTTTCCTTGGTGCAGTCTTGTACAGGGACAAGGAAACACTCCTTGGTCTCGCAACAAATGCCGCCGTACACCCACTGGCCATCGACCACCCTCCCGCGATTATATTTGCGCTTTCCAAACTTGGCTTCGTCGACCTCGACACTGTAGTTGACCCATAGAGTTATGTCCTTTTAAACCTTTAGTGCCTATAGTGTACATCTATGAGTTGGCCCCACAAATCTACCGCACTTCGTCACCGCAGTAAAGACTTTCAACGATGACCTCTCTGCAATAACTATACAGATCAGCCACCGTTTCCGTACTAGTTTTGCAGTCGTCAAAGTCTGGTCCCGACGTTTCGCGGATGGCGATGTTGTAACTACTGCGGTGGTTGAAGCGGTACGCTAGAAAAAGGCTTTTTCTGAAAGATACCTTGGCGCCTTTGATCGATATATACTTTCGGCAGGCGCGTTTGGTGCACCTAAATCGCGCCTATGTCGCGTTGACCCTCTTCGAAAAGTGTACCTTGTCCAAAATGTCACCACAGCTGGGACAAAGATAAGACTTCTGGAACAATCTCCACTTCTGTCCAAACTGGACACAACTCCTCGAAGCTAGCGGTGTAGCGACACAGTTGCGAAACATTTATGAACTCAGAAAAATCCTTGCACACTTCCTTCGCTCCTGACGGACCACTTTCTTCCTCACTCATACTCACATATTATCACAAAAACTGCACGTATACACGAAGGACTCACGCACGCATATACACTCAAAAAATAACTCATTGGAAGGCGCTCCAAAATAACAACACTCCTTTTGAACCACCCGAAGAGCTAGAAATAGGGTAATAGCGATAGATGGTGCTTCTGGAGAAGTATAGAACACAAAACACTCGCAAAATATCAAAACGCTTATAATGCTAATTCTGTCTCTCCTACGAAAAACGAAGAAAGAAAAAAGATATTTAGAAAACGCATTCCGTGGCAACCAATCGCAACCTCAGTGCTTTCTTGTTCTATCTCCATTCTTACGTGCTTTCTTGTCCCTTCTCCATTGTTTTTAACAGTGAAAATGTGACTTCTTTTTACGCTCACTATTATGTACTGTTTTCACTCTTATTAAACATGGAGAACCCCCCCCCCCCCCCGGGGCAGTGCCACTGACTGTAGTGGCTTTAGGCCATTCCCAAAGGGGGGGGACATTTCTCGTTCAAGCACAGTAGAATTGTAAATGGGCTCATTCATCATGTCACGCTCATAACTGTGCCTGATCTGCAACAGGGAACTGCTGCTTTTTCTTTCCTAATTCTTACTATTGTCATTTTCCTCTACTTCTTTTGTATGTTTGTCACTCTTGTGACCTGCTATTTCCGGGGTGTCAAGGTGGTAGAAGCAGACCGTGTGCTGTTGAAGCTAGAGAGGTGAGCAGAGTAAGTCTGATTCCCTGTAAGGACTTCTCTGTTGACATCCACCCCTTGGTGCTCATATGACCTTATGCAGTTGCGAGCGCCGTAAAACCCTCTACTATAACCCCCCCCCCCCCCCCAATAAAACATGGAAATGGGATCACAAAGCACTGAGTTTGCGATTTGTTGCAACGGAATGCGTTTTCTAGGGGGTTTTTTCTTCCTTTTTTTCTTCCGCTCAAAACACGTGCGAAATGAATTCGTTATTTGTATAATTTTTCTCTTAATCCTTTACCGCGACACGGGCGCACGAAAAACACGAAATAAAGGTAGACCTGTATGGAGAAATCCGTGTTTGTCCACAGCGGCAACTCAGAAAACGAAAGTCCGCCATTTTATGCAAATGAGGTAAACCCGACTCAGAAATTTCCTTTTTTGGGTTGTTGTTTTTTTTGCCGATCGCATCATCTTTCGTAATTTTGCGAAAGAACCTCGACAAAATCCTTCGAGGTAAAAAGTAATTGCGTTTTGGTAATTTTGAAAGGTGATAGTCCCACTTAATTCAGATGTTAACGTGTAACTAATAATAATATACATTCCAGGAAGAGAAACAGTGGAAGGCAAGGGAACACAAGGAAATACGAAAGCAGTTTTACTCTCTTTACTTTCTTTATTGCCCAACCAAATACTAAACCTTATCTTTTACATAGCCCACTCAAAAGTCCCTCTTTATTGCGTAGGTTGGAGTGGTCGCTCGTTACGAAAGTCTTTCCATAATATCATAAATATGATCATCATAGGGAAGAGTTCTGCAGAGGACCGGCACTTATCGTGACATGGTCCACTGAGCAAACTATACAAGAGTTATGGTTAGGGTTTAGGGTTTAGGATTAGGGTTAGGGTATTCCCCGCTCAAAATATCCACTCTTTTGTGTGTTGTTGGTCTGCCGGCCCTCTGCGAAACTCCTTCCATAATAATAATGAAAATGATAATAATAAATACGAGGATAATTTCTATATTGCCGACTCCCGTGTGAACACAGCTCTATGCGGTTTACATAAATGCATGTACAAGCAATATTCATGCACACACACACACACACACACACACACACACACACACAAACACACACTCCTGTAGCTGCTGCTATCTTCATATGTTTGCACTGCCTCCCCTGCACGTCCCATCTTGTCGGATAAATTGGCAGTGCCGAGTGCGGCCTCTAACTCTAACCCCGATGCTGGCTAACCGTTGCACGTGACTTAGCCTAGATCTGTACTGCGTGTGTCTGATAGATTTACCTGCTGCCATCTATCCAGCTACCGTGCACTCGAGAGTTTGCCTAGTCTCTCTCTGTCTACTTCTCTCTCCCCTCTCCCCTCGACTCTCTCACTCTATCTCTCTTTCTCTCTCTCTCTCTTTCTCTCTCACTCTCTCTCTCTTTCTCTCTCTTTTTCTTTCTTCATCTCTCCCTTCCACCCCATCTCTCACATATCTACCTTCTTTCCCCCTCTCTCTCTCCCTTCTCTCCCTCTCTCCCCACCCTCTCTCTCCCACCCCTCTCACCCTCTTTCGCTCTCCCCCCCCCCCCCCCCCCCCCCCCCCTTAAGGTTGAAAGTGGCCAAAGCCAAGACTAGTACTCCCATAACAAAATATATTTCTTGCTAATAGTTAGTAATTTGCGATCAAGCACGAATAAATATAACACGAACAAGCACAAAGGTTTCTTATTTATCCTGTATGCCAACTTGAGAAGTCACAATCCACCCACAAGGTACGAAAGAGACACAAAATTTACAGAGCTGGAAAAACGCAGCCTGTCAGGCGCGGAACACCAACACGGTGTATAATAATAATTATA